GAGAGAGAGAGAGAGAGAGAGAGAGGGAGAGACAGACAGACAGACAGACAAACAGACAGACAGACAGACAGAGACAGAGTCAGAGACAGAGAGAGGGGGTGGGGGTGAAAAGAAGAGAGATAAAAAGAAAGAGTGTGAGATAGAGGGAGAGAGTTTCGCTGTAATTCTTTTCTTACGCTGTCTTCTTTCCAAGACTATCCTACACGGAACAGCACACGGAGGAAAACAGACATACAGACAGACAAACAGACAGACAGACAGACAAACAGACAGACAGACAGACAGACAGACAGACAAACGGACAGACAGACAGACAGATGGAGCGATGCGAAGACAACATCAAAGAGTAGACTGACCATAACTGGAACATCTCACTACGGAAAGCTGAGAGCTGAGAGGAGTGAACGAAACACGTTCTGAAATCTGTAGTGGTGCGTCAGGGGTTAGCCAAACCACGAAATATTTGAAGGTGAAAGTGAGCCTTCTTAATAATAATAGATAGCATTTGTACAGCGCAAATCCCCGCTCAACAGCAAGCTCTATGTGCTTCACAATCTATACTATTACCCCAGCAGACCTGAGAGCATTCTCAAACAAACTCAACTTCCTGGGAAGCATACAGTGCAAGAAGACATTTATAGGCGCTAAAACACTAACATAGTGACAAGATCTTTCGTCGTCTATGTCCGGGTACCTTTTCCACCTTTGTGAAGTGAGGAAAATTCGTGTATAGTGTCTTTCCCAAGGACACAACGTTGGGTCCGCGGCTCGACCCCCCCCCCTAAGTTTTCGTTTTAGTAACGTTTTACGGCGCTCGTAACTGCATAAGGTCATATGAGCGCCAATGGGTGGATGACAACAGAGAAGTGCAAACAGGGAATCGGGCTTACCCTGTTCATCTCTCTAGCCTCAAAAGCACCCCATAAATAGCAGTTCATAAGATATTGACAAACATACAAAAGAAGTAGAGAAAAAATGACGATGGTACGGATGACAATAGAAAAAGCAAGTAGAAAAGTGTGCTTTCCTTTCCTCTGAAAATGACTTCGATTGTAACAATATAATCAAATTAATATCTTTGGTCAATTTCATTTTCCTGCAAGCCAACAAACTACAGTCACATCTGCTCTAAAGGCAGCTGTATAATGCAATCACCTGTACAAACGGTCACTTCCAAACTTTCCCTTTGCGATTTATAAATATTACCAGCAGGGCCCCCGTTTGATGAACGGATTGAGACACAAGCGTGTTGATTGTTCCCAGTAGCAAGAAAAAGAATTTGACAAAGAAGTCCAGAAAAAGCGATGATGGGCATCAAACGAAAGAATCACTGTCGAATTTAGCACCAAGTAAAAACAGAAAACACGAGGCTAGATCTATACGGGTCGCACACTTAAAGTTAAAATAGTGCTCAGTATTGCCCGACAGTGCGCGATAGTATCGAATGGAAGTACAACTTGAAAAAAACAAACCTGGCGGATTTTCTAAAATTACAGAGACAGAAGCGTGGGCCTACAAAAGCGATCGGCGAAATAAAGAAATTTAGCTTTTTACAGCAAAACTGTCTCAAAACTGGAAAAGCGAAGGGCGTCATGATCTGGGGAATATTTTAAAGAATCTTTTGGCGAAATCCGCATGTCGATCGATGCAGCCATTAAAAAGCCTTTTGAATAGCAACATTCGGCCACCACAAATATATAATAGATAACGACACTGCAACAGAAGGTCACCTGTCCAAGAGGACCACTTTTCTCCTAGACAATGGATGTCTGTCTAAGGCAATTTCCGTTGCAGTTAAATGTCAAAGAATTGTACAATCAACTAATAAAACAAACGAACCAAATATCACTCCTCCCCCTCCCCCCAAAAGAACCAACAGCAACAAACAAACAAAAACACCCCTCCCCCAAAAAAAAGAAAAACAGACAAAAAACACTCAAATTCAAACAACACAAAACAAAACAAAACAGAACAACAGCAACAACAACAACAACAACAACAACAACAACAACAACAACAACAACAACAACAACAACAACAACAGCAGCAAGAAGAAGAAGAAGAAGAAGAAGAAGAAGAAAAAGAAGAAGAAGAAGAAGAAGAAAAAGAAGAAGAAGAAGAAGAAGAAGAAGAAGAAGAAGAAGAAGAAGAAGAGGAAGAAGAAGAAGAAGAAGAAGAAGAAGAAAAGCAACAACAACAACAATAACAACAACAACAACAACAACAACAACAGCAACAACAACAACAGCAACAACAAAACTAAGCCAAACAAAATCCGCACGTACCCTTGGGTATGCTCCTCTTCACCTCCTCTGACCAATAGATCCCATCAACAACAACCTGACTCGCAGACAGCCAACCCGGCATCTTTGACGCATTCTCGTGTCGTCTGCTCTGCTCGGTGTGAGGAGAACCGATCCCGGGGTCTTCTTTTGGAACCTTTGGGACACTATCACCTACGCCAATGTCTCGGCCAATGTGTGAAGGGGAAAGTGACTTAGATCGAAAGTTCATAACAGATTCCCGTGTGGGTCGCTTATCTAGACTTCCTTCACCCTCTCCGTTATTTGAACGTTCTTTTACGTTTGTGAACAAGGGTATTGTCTTTGGAACACTTTTGGGCAAATAATAATACGAGTTATCTAACCTGCCTTGCTCTCTGATTTCCAGACGAGGTGATTGTGGTTGTTTTGTTTTGACTAGATGTGCATCCGTCCGTTGTAACTGGGGCCGATGTAGGGTCGGGTTTTGCAGACTAGAAGGTTCCTGAGACGGAATATCGTCGTTTTTATTGGAAGGCTCTCGCACTATTTTTAGGACTGCTTCGGGAAATCCCGCTGACTTAGGGGAAGGACTGTCTATACTTTGTACGCTTTTATATCTATCTTCTCTACTGCCTAGTGGACGGGAATGGAATGGTTGAGATAAGGACGATGAAATAATCTCGTGTTGGAGATGATAATACTGAGGTAGGCGGAATTCTTCGTACTGGGTCATTCTATCTATCCTGCCATCTTGTCTAGGACTCGCCTTTTGTTTTATGGAATTATCTCCTTCGACATAAATCTCCCTATTGTGATGCTCTGTGCTCCTCACAGGCGGTAAATGAAGGCGGCGGTGACTGCTTCTTGCGTCCATCAACTTGTCGGGTAGTTTACCGCCTCCAGTCGTCAGAACATCAAGAAATGACGAGGAATCATCGTTCAATATTTCCTTGCTCTCCCTTTTAGAAGAAATCTGCTCTTTCCTGGATTCTTTGGCGATCTTTACCTCTGTTCCAAAGGCTCGATACTCCAATGTCAGATCTGAACCCCCATCCGTTTGTTGATCCAGAATATTCTCCTCTTCCCCATCGCCTCCATCTCTGGGATTTTCTCCTTCGGAGTTCTTCCCAAGGAGACTGAGGTGAGTCCTTCTGTGCGTGATGGCGACAGTGTGGCTGCCAGATTGGGTGACCATGACGAGACTGAGTGAAGACACTGCCAAAATCAGGGCGACCACTGACACTAGTTTCGTTCTGCAGTGGCGCAGAAAAAAGCGTCGACCTACCACCATTGCAGTGTGATACCCAGACGTTGGAGATTTCGTTTTTGCCCTGTGGTAATCCTCACGTTTTTGGTTTTTTTGGAAAGCCCGCTTTGGTCACTAGAACATAGGAGATTTTTGAAAGGGGACAGTTCAAGTGCGTAAAACACTTACAATTACTTTGACGGACCTTCCAAGTGCTTGTCCATACGCTGATATAATGTGCCTATTTTCTCTGAGAGGAGTCAATATACATGTATGTTATCCAGCCATTGTCACAGATTTGACTTTCCACTTGCTTGTCAAAACTCCGGTATCCTCTGCCTACTTCCAATGAGAGACACCATTATACATTTTATACAAACCAGACATTGTCAAAGTTTTGACTTTCCAACTGCTTGTCAGAACGCTGGTATCATGTGCCTACTTTCTCTGAGAGGCGTCATTTGACATCACATCTGTTTTCCTGTCATTGTCATTCGACTTTCCAACTGGTCACCAAAGCCCTGGTACCCTGTGCCTACTTCCGCTAAGAGACAGAGGTGTCATAACAGATTACTCAGTCATTGTCGAAGGTTTAAGTGGGGAACAGAGTGAGATGAACCACGGACAGATCTCCATTGACCTTCATTGTTTCAAGTTCAAAGGTCGACAAAATTTTGTTCCTCCATTTCACGGAGATGACATGGATGCTTGATTTGACAAAGGGCCGGGAAGCTGATGTGATGATTCAGCACATTTCTTTCACCCCGCGCACACATCATGGCCTTTGTTGATGGTTAGAAGCTCATTGTGGACGGTTTGATTTGGGTTTTGTCCCCTGGCTGTGATCTCAGGACTTGTCAAAATGTTTGTGTTAGCACGTCACAGTTGTAGATGTGGATGCCCCGTTGTTGGAAGATTGAGAGTACCTGTGGGAGGGAGGGGAAGGAGGCGCTGAAATAAAACAAAGCATTGTTTTGGGTCACTGGGAATTAGAACTTGTTCATTTTTGGAAAAGTGTTATTAGTACACAAAGTTCATTGGACACACAATGCGGAAAGAAGAATTGGAGAATATTATTGTAACAACAGGCAAGTTTGATAGAAAGAGTGGCAGAAGCAGACAGGGCGAAAAGATACTGGACAAGTTGACAAGTGACAACATGGCTGGGAACAGCAAGAACAACAGACACCATCGTAGCAACCCAAAACAGAGGGAAGTGGAGGTCCACGATCGCCCACACCAGTCGGCAAGGCACCGGATGATGATAATTCGTATCATCTTAAATCCTGTTCTTTTATCTGGCTTTTGATAAAAAACAAAACAAACAAAAACAAGCCATCTATTCCAATGGAAAGCGAGATATTAATTGCAAGTGAAGGAAATCACCCTTGTCTGGCGTCCGAGGGGAAAAGTTTGTGAGAAAATGGCCACCAATTTCGGTGATTTCCAACCTTGAGTGTTCAGGGAAACAGCAAATATACATTTTACGAGTGCCTTTGATCAACGTTCTTCAGGAAAACCAAGACAGGTACACGTTTTTCAATTAACTCAAAAGGTGTTTAGAAAAAAAAGGATTGCCTAACGGACGGAAAAATGTACGTTTCTTAAAAAACTGTATTATTCTAACGAGCACTTGCTATCCCCAGGAAGCCACAATGACATAAATATGGACGTATAAGATACGTCAAGAGCTGCTAGACTTCTCATAATTTTTCTATAGACATGTTTTATTTTAGTAAGCTTTTTACTGCACTTTCAACACAATTCGGTCACATAAGTGCCGAGGAATTATAGTAGTGTTACAAGAGAGTAATATGCACAAAACAGAAGGAGGAGAGATGAGGACAAATATATATTATGTTGGGTAAAAAAGAAGGACAAAACTGCACAAAAGCACCCACCAACTACCCGCCAGACTTCTCATTTGAGTTGGTTAAATGTTCCCATAGGAGATTGGCTTTGGTTCTACACCTTCTCCTCCCTCTCCCCTCAATGAAGTCCTCCCGCCCCCTAACCCCCCCCCCCCAAACCACTATCCCCGAACCCAAGAACTCTCGTTTTACAGGAAGCCCTTCCAACACAGAACCTGTTTGATCGTCGAAAGATCCAACGAAAAGGTGTGACAACCAATTACGCGAAAAAAAAATCGAAGGTAAATAACAACACTGCTTGTGGTATACGTAATACCCAGTGCGCACTTTAAGTCGGATCTATTTGATCAAGTCGGGGTCATGATTTTCTTCATTTGTTTGTTTGTTTGGGTAGGGATGTTGTTGTTGTTGTTGTTGTTGTTGTTGTTGTTGTTGTTGTTGTTGTTGTTGTTTTTTTTTTTTGGGGGGGGGGGTTTAGTTAGCGTTTTGTGGCACTTGCAACACAATCAGGTCGTATTCGTGCCGAACATTAGAGGTGTGTTACCAGCTGATGATGGAGACAATCAGCCTGCCCACACTAAAATGGACCCTCATGAAGAGGAGCGAGGAAGCATGGAGCACCCTGTCTTCCTAAGACCCCAGTTCTACATTCAAGTATTCGAGTTTAAAAAGAAACACAAAACAATGGAGAAAGAAAAAGAACAATAAATGTTTGAAAGAGAAGAAAGGAGCAAACCACACCAGAGCAACCGCCAACCACCCACCATATCTTTCATGAATTGGACAAAAACTGCACTAAGCTTACCATTTTGTCATTTTGTCATAATACTACGCCCGCAGTCAACTAAATTCGACTGCGACCCTCAGGTCGAACACGTCTATTTTTAGTCTCAAAGGACATCGGTTGTATAGTATCGAAGTGGCAGCTTTTTCCTCTTCAGGAAGGAATCTGTCTAAAGCGTCACGTGAGTCTCGAAAAATGACCCACCCCGTCTCTTGAATCGTGTTTCTTAGGCGAACATTAATGTACACGATACGAGTAATTTTCTAGGGGTTTGACTTTCTTTCTATTTTTAAAGGTGATGTAGACTAATTACATTAAAAATGGTGTAGAGGAAAATATTTAAGTGTATGCTGTAAATACCCAGTTTTGTTTTTTTGGGACCCGCTTTAGGCTTACATCAAAGAAAACGTGTTTGAAAGAATTCGAGTGCGTGCTGTGTATAACATTTGTCGTCTTTCTGCTTCGGTCCTATTGCCCAGTCAAAAATCTCGTTACCGAGATTAATTTGTTTCGCCTCTGTAACGTTTCGGTTGCGGTTTCGGTGACGTTTGTGGTACCGGTGGGCTACAACGGATTATCTGCGTCGGTGGAACCGTTGTTTGTAGTTAGTCTGAGGGGGATAAGCCGCTTAAAGGGCAAGACGTGTTCGCTTCTCTTGATCCATATCAGAACACGGATACACACTGTCGTTGGTACGACACACACACACACACACACACACACACACACACA